GATTGTGGTGTGTGTGTGTGTGTGTGTGTGTGTGTGTGTGTGTGTGTGTGTGTGTGTGTGTGTGTGTGTGAGAGAGAGTACACAAGTATCTTTTGAAAAGGGTGGGCGTGGGGGGGTCTACACCCTGAACTATTACAGACACACACACTGAGGCGTGGGAACTCTATTCAGGGCTGAATCAGGGGTCTATTATGGAGCACATGGCTGCAAGTGTGTCTGGGTGTGTGTGTGTATGTCTGTACGTGACAGCGAGGGTGGGTGTCTCAGTTAGTGCACACATGCTCGCTGCACTTCAGCATGTCTGGGAATGCCTCACCACAGATTGACACACATGCATTTCTATTTTCACGACAACATTTTTGAAAAAAGATCCCAGAAAATCCTAATCCTTAAAACTGTAATTTTCAGTTCATTTTTAAGAATAAATATTGCTTCTTAATTTACGACGTAAACTAGTCAGCATTTGTGTCAAAACCATAAACATTTTCATACCAAAAAAAAGGCAGAAATCTTTGGTATAAATAACTAAAAGGGGTACGTTTATCCTGAAAATCTCCGTTCCTATGCCAACCCCCCTCTTCGTAATTTAGATGATGCCACCTGCTCTGCTCTTTGCACTATACATCATCTCTGGAACACTCCATTCACAACCAAAAAAGGGGTGGGGGAGGGCACTGCCAACCAAGTGCATTTTCTGTGCCAACACACTTCATCAGCACTGCCCCTGGTGTTCTCACTCGTACTACTAAACAGCCTACTACGAGCCAAAATCATTCGTTTGAACGAAGAAACAACTGTTTACTTTTATGCCCTGTAAATTCTACATGACATGAATTGAGCAAACACAATGCTATTTTATGTAAAATGATAATTAAATATCACACTGCAGTCAGCTGTTAAATTCTGAATCATTTACTTTTAAGAGGCCAATAAGAGGGTGTATGTGTGTGTGTGTGACAGAAAAAAAGAACACTGGGGTGGCAATTTCTTTTCTAAAAAAGACAATTTCAAAAGACATCTTTATGTAATATGTATTTCTTAAATAAAAGCCTTAAAATAATATATAAATGCTTCAGATTGAGCAAATGCTTCTTTTAAAAGTACAACTAATACGTATATTCCTAGGTTAAAATTTGTATAAATTGCAGAAATTGTTCTCTACTGAATTAAAATGAAATACGGTTATGTTTGATATATTTAAATGTGTGTAAATTTAAACAATGACATATATGAGTCAAAATGACATGAATTTGAGTTGAATTTGCATGCCTTTACATTTATGTCAAACCTATCAATATTAAGCATCCAAAAAACAAAAAACAATTAAACATTTTTTAAGAACAACTCTAATTGAGACATTTACATAATTAATGGAAAGTACCATCATATATTATCATTTTAATGCAAAACTGTGCAAACTAAGCTCTGACGTGGCATATACAATGCTTCTATCCATAAGCGTCTGTGTTACAATTCAATAATAATATAAAAACGACAAAAAATATTGCAATGAAAAGTTCATAAGATGAATGACAACACAATGTGATAATCAAACACAAGGCCCAAATAGCTGATGTCCATTCACTACGTTGAAGTGCTCCAGGAAACACACACCAAAGGCATCAGAAAATGAAAGGTTGATTCGTAAAAACCTTTTTCTGATAACCCGATTTAAAACTCTTACTTCCAAAAAGAATGTCTTCTCACTCACAAAAACATTAGCCCCAAAACTATGCACTGTGGAAGGTCGACTTCCTCACTACGTACAGAGGCACATCTTATTTGTTAGGCGCTGATATGAACTGCCTTTACATACCACCTACGCCATTTATTCAGGGCTGAATCAGGGGTCTATTATGGAGCACATGGCTGCAAGTGTGTCTGGGTGTGTGTGTGTATGTCTGTACGTGACAGCGAGGGTGGGTGTCTCAGTTAGTGCACACATGCTCGCTGCACTTCAGCATGTCTGGGAATGCCTCACCACAGATTGACACACATGCATTTCTATTTTCACGACAACATTTTTGAAAAAAGATCCCAGAAAATCCTAATCCTTAAAACTGTAATTTTCAGTTCATTTTTAAGAATAAATATTGCTTCTTAATTTACGACGTAAACTAGTCAGCATTTGTGTCAAAACCATAAACATTTTCATACCAAAAAAAAGGCAGAAATCTTTGGTATAAATAACTAAAAGGGGTACGTTTATCCTGAAAATCTCCGTTCCTATGCCAACCCCCCTCTTCGTAATTTAGATGATGCCACCTGCTCTGTTCTTTGCACTATACATCATCTCTGGAACACTCCATTCACAACCAAAAAAGGGGTGGGGGAGGGCACTGCCAACCAAGTGCATTTTCTGTGCCAACACACTTCATCAGCACTGCCCCTGGTGTTCTCACTCGTACTACTAAACAGCCTACTACGAGCCAAAATCATTCGTTTGAACGAAGAAACAACTGTTTACTTTTATGCCCTGTAAATTCTACATGACATGAATTGAGCAAACACAATGCTATTTTATGTAAAATGATAATTAAATATCACACTGCAGTCAGCTGTTAAATTCTGAATCATTTACTTTTAAGAGGCCAATAAGAGGGTGTATGTGTGTGTGTGTGACAGAAAAAAAGAACACTGGGGTGGCAATTTCTTTTCTAAAAAAGACAATTTCAAAAGACATCTTTATGTAATATGTATTTCTTAAATAAAAGCCTTAAAATAATATATAAATGCTTCAGATTGAGCAAATGCTTCTTTTAAAAGTACAACTAATACGTATATTCCTAGGTTAAAATTTGTATAAATTGCAGAAATTGTTCTCTACTGAATTAAAATGAAATACGGTTATGTTTGATATATTTAAATGTGTGTAAATTTAAACAATGACATATATGAGTCAAAATGACATGAATTTGAGTTGAATTTGCATGCCTTTACATTTATGTCAAACCTATCAATATTAAGCATCCAAAAAACAAAAAACAATTAAACATTTTTTAAGAACAACTCTAATTGAGACATTTACATAATTAATGGAAAGTACCATCACATATATTATCATTTTAATGCAAAACTGTGCAAACTAAGCTCTGACGTGGCATATACAATGCTTCTATCCATAAGCGTCTGTGTTACAATTCAATAATAATATAAAAACGACAAAAAATATTAATTGCAATGAAAAGTTCATAAGATGAATGACAACACAATGTGATAATCAAACACAAGGCCCAAATAGCTGATGTCCATTCACTACGTTGAAGTGCTCCAGGAAACACACACCAAAGGCATCAGAAAATGAAAGGTTGATTCGTAAAAACCTTTTTCTGATAACCCGATTTAAAACTCTTACTTCCAAAAAGAATGTCTTCTCACTCACAAAAACATTAGCCCCAAAACTATGCACTGTGGAAGGTCGACTTCCTCACTACGTACAGAGGCACATCTTATTTGTTAGGCGCTGATATGAACTGCCTTTACATACCACCTACGCCATTTTCTTTAGGAATCGTACCGTTTTTTAAAACGCTTTTTTCCCGTATAAACCATAAAACCATAACAAAAATATTTCACACACATTCTAAAGACAAAAAAAAAATTAAGAAATATATCAGAGAAACGAAGAACAAACTAAATATGTACAAATACCACATAAAACGCAAATATTCGCAACTTACCCGATAACATTGACATGTGTCTGTAGACAGAAACATTCCAGGACAAGTGCTGAAGGCCTTTTCTACTCACTTCACCAGCCCTGTGTTGAAGGAGGGTGAGAGAGAGAGAAAGAGAGAGAGAGAGAGAAGGAGAAGAAGAGGCAGTGAGCTTTCAACAGCAGGCACAAGGACCGAAGGAGGTAGGCCGGGGGGCCAAGCCAATCCTCCCACCCCAGCTGCGTGTCCCCAGCACCAGGCTACACGTCTGCCTGTGGTCCCCTAGTCCAGGACGACTGGGCCCTGACCACAAAAGCAGCCCGAGAGACACGTGTGTCGACCCGTCTTGCAGTTAACAAGTCTTTGAATGAGGAATGTTACAAACAGAATGTCCACTGCATGTTAATTTCCCAGTCAGTCCGATCGCAGCGTTGGCCTGGCGTATGAATAATTCAGGAGCTTGAAAACCGAGCCCCCTCCCCTTTTCCCCCCCCCCCCCATGACTGAAATGCCTTCACTGGCTGAAGAGCGCCAGAGGAGCGAGAGAGTGTTGTGAGAGAGATAGAGACAGAAGAAAAGTATTTCAAATTTTAGCTTCAAACAGTTCTATTCAGCCGAACGCACACACGGTCGCCACAAACTTCTTTCGTTTCATCGTGAAACATTTCTTTCTTACGATCGAGGCATCTTTCACTCATTGCCTTTTTATGTCTTTTGTTTGGAATTGGCACCTGTCCCAGAAAAAGCTCCGACACCGCACCACCCTCCCGCTCTCCTTTCAGAGAGAGAGGGAAAGAAGAACTGTATGTGTGCGTATGAGAGAGGGAAGGCAAAAGAGAGAGAGAGGGTTGTGCTAAAGTGATAGAACTCCAGGCGCCTCCCTTCTCCGAGACACGCAACAAGCAGGGAGAATACAGCCATTTTCAAAGCACAGCAACGGAAAGGATCCGTTAACCCCTGGCGAGGATGAGAAATGCCACACACCTCCGGCTGCCGTAAATGCTCCGTTTGAAAGAGTCTCGAGGTGACGAAACCGCAGAAGAATACAGCGACCAGGTTTAGGGAAGTGGTGAAAAAGACGTGCTGGAAAAACTGAAGCGGCAGAGAAGCAGCTTGAGCCAATCGGTTGTGCTACAGGGTTAAAATCCTGTGAGTAGTAGAAATCCCTCCTTCTCTTGGCACAGACTGGGTGAAGGGGAGGAGACTGAACTGTGGAAACAGCGGCAGAGGCTTTTTTTTACATTTCTATCTGCACAGAGAGAAAGAGAGAGAGAGAGAGAGAGAGGGAGAGAGAAAGGGAGGGAGGGAATTAGAGGAGAGAGGGAAAACTGAAGTAGAGGGAAAAAAGTTGATGATGAAACCGAGAGGCAGTGGAGTACGTGAGCAATCTTTTTTTTTTTTTTAATCATCGCTCCAGCCAGTGAGCGATAGCTCAAGTAGGGAGGGAGGGAGGGTTGAAGAGAGGCGTGACACAGACTCCGGTTCACCCGGAGAGTGCACACAAACATACGCTCACACCCGTTACGAACCATTCAAACACAATTTACCAAACGCGCAGGCGCTCTGCCGCCAAGACCAAACTTGATCCTTGAAGCTGTCCTCTGGCTCGAAAGCACTGAATAGCTATCAATCAGAAACGAGAAACAGTTAAAGAGTCAGCAGTTAAAAGACGACTATATTATGATGGAGGGTTCTGGGAAAAGTGGAGTGTGCAAATGTTGGGGTGTCTTTGTACATCCCACTGTCCCGAGTAGGAGTCGAGAAGTGTCAGACGTATGGGTGAGACGGTGTTAAGGTGAAACATCTGTCGCAATTTGTAGGGAAATTTCCTCTGCACTGACTGCATACACACACACACACACACACACACACACACATACACACACACACTGCAGCCGTGGCCTACCTGAGAATCTGCCCGGTGGAGGAATAATTAGCAGAGCACACTGCCAATCATGTTTTTCGATCTTTTAGGGTGCACCTCTGTCAAGCCTCCCTTTTGAACCAGAAATAATTTGTGAAGCAGTCCGGTGGTGGGGATGCAAAAAACGAACTCAAGATTTCGTTATTCTGTGGCTTATTTTACCAACAATTCTTTGTGCGGCTATTACGCGCTCTTGTAAAAATGCCAGTACTGTCGAGTGCAAAACTTTTCAATGTGGCGATTAAATACAAGTTCAAACAGATGATCTCTCTACTGCGAACGAGCCCAAAGAGAATGCAAAAACACATACCAAAACGTGCTAGTGAGGGGCCTGCGGCAGCTCCTGTTCCTCGGACTGTATCACGAACCTTTTCTGCATTTAGTGAACTAAAGAGTTGATAAAAGCATGCTCGCCGACCAGCGAACATGGCTGCATTGAGGGTGCTGCTGCTCATCAGGCTGTCACACAAGGATACACACACACACACACACTGATGTGGAGGAGGGACCGAAAGCACCCGGTCCGCCCAGATTTCCTTGCCTCATTCTCGGCCTCCTCTTTCCGGCTCCCTCATGGCACTGACCTCTCATTACACACACATACACACACACACACACTCACTCTCACACACATACATACTCGGTTCCTACATACTGCACACCACACCCTCAATTCAACACCAAATCTGGGCTGAGTTGCACCCATATACAACAGTTACAGCTAAATCAAATTCCAAGTGCTCATCCCCCCCAGTCCCCCCCGAGTCCGATTCCCTAATGGCAACAGGTCGCGCTGTGGCACAAGGTACGCCCACGTCACATTGCGCCACGTCTGCCGGCCAATCACGAAGAAGGCGCACCTCACATGAGAAAGTGTGCATTAAAAATTGCGCTTCTCATTTTCTTGTAATACATTATCTGTTTTATTTCTCATTCTCTGTTGTTGATTCTCAGGAGTTCATTTTCTTGCTTGTTTACTATAGGACCTGCTAGCAGGGAGTCGGGACTTGGCGCACGTGTTGTGTTGTACGTTGCATTAAAGTTCATTTGAGGATACAATTTTGGTTTTGGGTCGGCTGCCAACTCCCAAACAGTGAGCTGTTCTGTAAGGCCCCATCCTTCACAAGGCTCAGAGACTATGATCAAACGCCAATCAAAACAAACTCTTTATGGTACTTTTCAGGGCTCAATCTCAGAGCACTTTAATGCACCATCGCTGAGATCATTTTAAAAAGACTCTCATGTGATTTGAAAAGCGTGTATGTTTTCTGGGGTTAAAGTTACCAGAGAGCAATAATGGCTACAAGGAGGTTTAAGGTCGCTGTCTTCGCAAGGTTAAAAAGCACAGCGGGCTGATCACTTATTCCAAATGTCAATTTTATCTTTTGATGACATTACATTGATCGAATATCAAAACTGAAGCAAAGAGAACAAAATGGTCTCCAAACATTAATGTATGCGTCAAAAAATACCTTACTAAATATGAAAATGCACATTAACCCTTTCAGACCTAAATGTGAGATTGAAGCGGACGCCAAATGCACAAAATAAAATAATGAAGTAAATGAACGTAAACAATGCAAAGCCATTCGCCAGCTCACAGATCCTAATAACCGTCTGTAGGAGCTTTAGAGTATATTTCCTTTTCCACCCGAATGAACATCAGGGTCTCCAGCACAATCAACTAGAAAAACTTCAAAAAGCATCCAAGGAATTTGCAACCATGTGTTGCACATGCACATCACCGAGCTGCAATTTTCCACCCATAATTATGCTTTTGTGGAGAGGGCAATGAGTAAAAACGAATAACATAAGCTTCTTTAACCTACAATCTTTCATCAGACAGCAAAAACAAACAAACAAAAACAACAGCAGTGTCTCAATATAGACAACATAACACTCCCATGAAGCAAAACATTTATTAAAAAACACAACAAGAAATGCCTGGCGCAGATTAAAAAACATTTCAATCCTAGTTGGTGGCCTAGTTCATCAAACGAGAGTTGTACTTCCACAGAAAAAGCAACATGTTTAAGATCTGAAATGTCCATCAGCATCTAAATCTTTCGCAAAAGGTCTAGAGTTTACATATACAGAGAGAAAAATTAATATTCAATAAGAAATATGCCCACATACACATGACCAAATGGATTTGTGAAGGCATAGTATATGTGTAGAAGATATTTAAGCCAATTAAGCAGCATTTGCACAACATGACAGAAAACACAACAGCTGGGAAATGATCAGAAAACCATACGCAAAAGGTCTAGAGTTTACATATACAGAGAGAAAAATTAATATTCAATAAGAAATATGCCCACATACACATGAGTCATGACCAAATGGATTTGTGAAGGCATAGTATATGTGTAGAAGATATTTAAGCCAATTAAGCAGCATTTGCACAACATGACAGAAAACACAACAGCTGGGAAATGATCAGAAAACCATCGCAAGATCTGATCGGCCAACATCATATTTTCAGACACCCTTTTCCTCCGGCGCAGAGGTAGCAGTGAGCTTGCAGCGGTGGTGGTCTCTCCTGGGCCCCCGTGGGCACGTGTCTACAGGACTCCTCAATTACAGAGGTGAAATCTGAGGTCAGCCTCTGTAGAGACAGGAACAAAGGGCACGACCCACAGGTCAGAAGTGCTAGACTGGGAGCAGGCTGGTCCCCATTGAGAGGGAGGGTGCTATTTGCTTTGTGTAGGTAAAGAGTACTAAAACACAGACAGAGATTAAGAGGTGAACCCCTTAGGACTGTCACTCAGAGGGCCCCTCCATCAACTCTGATTAACTTCCTTGACCTCTGCCTGCCATTAGAAGACGCTTAATGACCCTTACGGCTCGCCGCGGCACTGACAGAAACACAAGCGGTGCTCTGGTAACTGACTGACACCAACTGATAATAATAATAATAATAATTATTAATTCATTTAAAATATTTATTAATTTAAAGACAAAATTCAGCATACGATTGGAATAGTCTATAAAGAAATGCATTAGTTTTTCTTATCATAAAAGCACAGAAAGTAACAAATAAACAACTTAAAAATTATTATAATATTTTAAACTATTTAATATTTGAATACTATTGAACAAAAACAAATAAAAAAGAATGAAATCAAACAAAGATAACTTCATTGTTATTGTGTGAAATGTAAGTGTCTTTCAAACTACTAATAAAAAAATCTGCTACTTTGAAATAAGAATTATGATGGATTACATTAAAGAAATATCAAAAGAAAATTGACTACAACATGTTTTAACGGATTCTGTGGGTGTGATTCAATTTTACCACAAGCTTGGAAGATGCCATAATTACACACATACACACCTTGTTCTCGTTCTGAGAAAATTTGCCATGTGAACTACATTTATGTTTCCTGTTGTCCTGTCAGCTAATGAGGACAACTGTTCTTCTGTTAGTAGTAAAAACTTAGATGACATTTATTAATCATAAGCTCAAGCAACTGGTACGGTGTTGTCTAAAAATTTACCATCCCTGTCCTACCAGTGCAAACTAAAAAAATCTACCAAAAAACTCAACAAAAACAAAAAAAACGATGTTTCTAAACAGCTTTTTACAGGGCAGTAACAGTACCATAATTTGAAGCAACATAAGCAACAGTATCACACAAGGGAAATATAATGTGTCCATGAGGAAAAAAGTTCAAGAGCTCAATAATTCCAGATGAAATCAGTAAGGATTAGCGTCAATATTTCTGATTCATCGGGATACGACTGCATAATTTCGCAAGGGTGGGGTAGCTGTGCTACACTACAGTAAAGGTCTGAAACCACAAAATGGAGGACAGTTAGACAACATGGCGGTCACCTCTGATAAGAGCATGCTCCTATGTCCACGCAGGCAGGATGAGGCTCCCTGCATGTAATTATGCAGCTATCTGTATTATAAATACAACGATCATACTTTGGTGTAAATTTTGTAACGAAAGAAACTGTGCAGTGTGATTGTTATGGTTCTGCAAAAGAGTAGGCATAACCTTGAACGTGTGTGTTCAGAGTGCCAAGCCATTACATCGACAGTCAGCACTGATTTAAAAAAAAAGGCTACAAAGAAGAATGATTTTAAAACAGATAAATAAAATATGGTAAAAAAAGAATAGAAAAAAAGCAATGGTCTGGTCTGGGTTTGCAAGCAAGTTACTTTCTATGGTGTGATATTTCTATCTGACCACTACTAAGATGACACTCACAAATCACAAAAAATATCATGGCGGTGGAAAAAGGGTATGAATCTCATATTTATTATATTTAATAATTATATTATTAAAAAAAAAAGAGAGACATTAATATTACATGTTTTGTGAGACCTCAGACAAATTAAAAAAAAGAAAATGTTTGATGCATTTATAGAAATACATTTAAAAAAAAATGCTATGATATGAAAATTATTTTATGTTACTGAATTCTGAGAACAATTGCTTTGTAGTAGCAACAAAATTAAAAGGTTGTTACCCAAAATTTTAATACATTTATTTTTGTATGGTTATTTATTGCAGATGAATTTACTGTAATTTAGTAGTGTAAACACTGTTATTATAAAAGACAAAGCAAATGAATAAAATAAGTAAAAGACTCATTAGGCATCAAAAACAGAGAAACAAACAACCACAATATGACAAGGGCTGAATGACATTTCACTGTTCATGATGGAAAATGGAAATGTCACTATTTTTTTAACATATAGGCTAAGTGCTATTTTACATTTATTATTTTAAAATAAAAAGAGAAAACATCTTCAGTTTCCAAAAAAGAAATGGGACGACAAAAAAAGTGTCCTATGCAATGTAATTTAACTTCTGTTGAAAGGAAAAAGGAATGACAACGTATATTTCCCTGGCACTTCTGCTTTTTTACGTTTTGACAGAATGACATAAAGATTGCACAATTTATGTTTTCAGTTGAATAGTTTAAGAAACAACCTCACCTTGATTTGTCCTCATTTTTCTTTTACCGGCAGTGGAGATTAAACATTTCCAGAAGTGTGTTCCTATTAGCAATTATATAAATAAACCAATTTAAAAAAAGGCAGAAGCTCTACGTCTTTAAAATTAAAATATTCCTAACACATTTCTGAATTAGAACAATTGCTGCACTGAAGGAAAATGGGTTTAACACAGTGAAAGATATGACTGAATGGCTCTGCTGACATTTCAGCAATGCATACTTTATTTTAAATCACTGTGCATTCGGATTTAAACAGGAATAATAACAACAATAAATAATAAATAAATAAATTCTATCCTAAAACATGCAAACTTACCTTACATACTATTTTTATATATAAATTTTAGTAAATAGTAAAAATAGTAAATAGTAAAAATAAACTTTATTCTAATGAATAGTAATGAATATAAAACCATGATTATAAAATCTATTAATGCATATCTGAAAGTCACATCACATGCTTCATTTTTCAATTGAACTTTTATGTCTATTTATTCATATATTTTAAATCAGTGCAAATTACATCTGTTGGGATTTTTGAGATTTATACATAATCCAGTTCCTAAAGCTTGGTAGTTTGTATTTCAAAAAAGAAGGCTTTTTTTTCCGATCATTACACTTCGTAAGTGCCCTTATGTGTTATTTTTATACTATTTAACAACAAATTCAAGCAGTAACATTAATTAGGAGTGAGTTTATCACGGTGGTCTCACTTTAATGGTTAAAAAGAAATTAATTTGACAATAGTTTTTTGACCTCACTTCCGTATTTTATCTGTATCTGACAGCTGGAAATACACTGAAACATTTTAAAAACTACTTTACTCTAAAAGTAACTCACCTTAAGAAATTCAGTCGTGTGGGGAAAATGGGACACAGATAAAAAAAATTGTAAAAAAACGACAGGACAGACTTTCTCTATGTCCACTTCACAAGAGCTCAATCGCATGGCCGCTAACTGCCGCATGCTCCTATCTCCAGAACTTTCTGCTGAGCACTTTGTGTTTGGAGAGAGGAGCAGGATTCTGTGGCACTTTGATTAACTCTGAAACTTCCAAAAACTACCAGACCATTTCATAATAAAAACATGAGTTAAAAAGCACAAATGAAAATGAACAGGTGCACCATTTTTGAGGGGACATATGCAGCTCACAGAACTAAATATATCACTTCAAGCTGTAGGGGAAAGGGCATAAACCAAAAAAGTCATTATTCTAACAAATGACTATCAAATATTTAACCACAAATGAACTCCAGCCCACCGGTATACCAAAATGTGAGATTCTAAATCAGTTTTAAATAGTGCTAAATTATAAATTACTTCTGATGTATTCAAACATTTTGAGAGGGAAAGATGTTTGAAGCTACATACAACAAACCTTCAATCTCTAAACTGAATGCACAATTTAATTGCTATGTCCGTATCCAATAATTTCCCCAACACGCAGCGCAGGCATCATTCAGTGCCGTTTACTCCCCCCTAAATAACCTCTGATGCATGTTAACTCTCATCTCCACTCCAAACGGCCTGTGCATTCTGGTTTGGTTCTAATAATACATTTTAACACACCAGTCCTTCTTAATTTTCCTTAGTGCTGGAGAGCTGTGTGTGTGTGTACGAGGGGAATGGGGACAGTTCTGGCACTTAAAAAGTCCTGGCTCTTAAAAGCCAGCGCAGCCTGCTTCTGCATGTGCCACATCACTTTGCTTCTGACTCGAGTGGATGAGACCTCCAGGATTTGCCCCAGCTGAGCCTTCTACACCCAGTCAACCCTCTTACCCCACAACCGTCAACGACTGGAGCGAGGGATGTGCTGGATGATGCTTTGATATACTCACACCCTCTGGATAATGAAAATCTTTACATAAATGTTTTTTTACTGCTGATTTACTCTTTATATTAAATAAAGAGATAAGTGAAGCATGGTTTTAATGATGTCAAGACCATGAAATAAAATTTCCAGTGCAATTTCCTTTTTTAATTGAGCTCAGCTTCAGACTAAATTTAGTCACTATGCAGTTTAGAGCACAAACACATCATTTGACCCAGACTAGCATCTGTCGATGGTCTTAGTTACATACACTTTAGTTCTAATTAATACAGCATAAAAAAATCCCTTAGTACTGCATCATCTTAATTTCATCTATAATTTCGCAATCATTCCTGAAGGACCATGAAACGATGGCCTCCTCTCTCGGGAATGACAATCTCTGCCTAGGTCATCATCGCAAGTCTATAATAACATCCAATTTTTAGAAGAACCACACGGAATGTGGCACTTGTCATTGCTGGTGTTCAAGGACACTATCCTGGTTAAAATTAATTTAAAAATGATGATTATAGGTCAGTGGAGGCTCATTATCGCAAACGTATTATCTTGTCATGGTTTTTCTTATTATTTTTGTTCCATTAATTGTCTGCGCATGAGTGTTCTCCCGATGGGAATCCCAACCTTTAATAGGCTGAGGTGAACATGGTGCATGGCTGCAAGGCAACGTCTGCCTTCATCGCTCTATCTCCAAGTAGGGTTGGGTATCATTTGGTTTTTTTTCGATACCGGTGCCAAATTGATACTTTTAAAATAGTTCTGGTGCCTAAATCGATACTTGTAAAAAAAAATAAAAAAAAAAAAATTT